AGCGCCCGTTGAGTTTGAAATTTTGAAATGATTTAAAAAAAAAACTCTAATTTTTATAAAATAAATTCGGTAAATTCCTTAAAATAAAACGGGGCGTTACAGTTTGGTATCAGAGCTAGTCTGCATTTCTGTAGACTATCTCTAGTGTTAGTGTGTTTCATGACCATTTGACCACTCGCTTTCGTTTCGCCGCGCCAGCCCAAGGTATGAGTTTTATTGCTTTGATTACTGTCGAGAACGTGATTATGGTTTATTGTTTTATTGGGGCTTAGGAATTCACCCTCCGTTTATACGGGCTTGAACTCTGGTGGTATAGAGTTAAGTTCCAACTTTAGAGGCTTTTGGTTGTGAGTTTTCAGTTTAGTGTTATCGAGTGAAGTTCGGTTTATAGCAGTGCTCTCGTTAATTATGAGTTTCTGTTTAGTGTCTTCATTTGAGGACCATTCGCAAGTCATCTCGAAAGAGAAGGCTTAAGTAAAAGAAGCAGACAACCGAAGGAGTCCCGGGTGTATGGACTATTCGAAAATCTGTGACTATCGTGGATAGAACTATTAGACGCGTGTTAGAACCCAGTTAATGAGAATCGGGAGTAGAGTCCAAGTTTTGAGTTCATGTTGATGATCCGACCACTTGTGCTGGTAGATTCGTGGGGATCAAGTTAATGGCTGATTTTCCCTATTATAATTTGTTCATTATCATTTATTCTTACTCGTTGGTTTGTCTCGCAAATTCTTCGAGGATATTGATAACTCTCATTTTTTTTTTTTTTTATAAATCGAGTATCATGTAGTTGCTGTGATAAACATGTTGTGTTCGTTTATTTCTGTCTGGAAGTCATATTAATCGTGGTCGAGCTTAGAACATTCGTTATATATGTTCATTATTATTTCTTGTTAATACGCATGTTCGCTGTTTCTGTTGTGCCTCAGTTTAAGCCATCAGAGGCTGGTTATTTGAAGTTTCTATCTTCTTATGAAATGTAGTATGTTTGGTTGTCTATACCTGAGCTTTGAAATTTCTCGATTCCGAGTTATATCGGATAAGTTATGATTTATACGAGAATATTGCGTGTCCAGTTTTCCTGTTACCCGACAGCATGTGTGTAATTAATGTATGACCTGTTTATCATGTCATAACGTGCTCGTATCAATTTATGCTCTTCATAGAAGTTATAGGTCTATTTCTTATATTTCAAATGAGATATATTTCATGTTAATATGTGCTCTGTAGCTCGAGTTGTGTTCTTAGGAAGATAGACATGCATGAGATAGAGTTTTGTGTTTTGGCAGAATCTGATATTGAATGTTAACTGATTTTACACTATCTAAATGACCTTTTATGCTTCTGTGTTCTAAATAAAAGTTATAGAGGCATGCTTTAGGTTTAATTTGAGACTTGAACCATGTCATTTGAAGGTCTGTAGCTCAGTCTAGGTTGTAAACACTGAGTTGCTGTCCATAACAAATGTTAATTTTTGACAGATTTTCTGAACCACATGTTTTGTGTTTAAATCTATTGAGAATGTGTTTATTTGCCAAAGTGACCTTCAGCAAAGTTGTAGACATTTGAGTTATCTATCATTGGTTTTTTAAGTTAATTAAAATCATGCCTGTAGCTCCAGTTAGAGAGCAATTACTGAAGTCTGGCTAGGTGCATTACCCCCAGTTTTGGTCTATAACTACATTTTTAATGTTTGTTGATTTGTCACCTGATAAATGGCCTTATTTACTTTCGGTGTCTTCATATGAATTGTAGTGTTGTCCCTTAGGATTTCGAATGTCGCAAGTTTCATTCATATAGCATTTTGTTCAAAGAGATGCATTAAAAATACGGACTTCGTGCAATTCAGTTTTCTGGAAAATTTGCAGCAAAATTTAATGTGTGAGCTTAAGCTGTTTCCAACCCTTTAATCTACCCGTTCACGCCTTTGCCGCCCGAGTGCTTTTCCATTGCCTTTGACTACTACCTTTCGCTTAGTAGTCAAGTCTGAATTGTATTTCGAGACCATCTTATATTATTTGATTTTTGTACCGTGTCAATTTTGCTTGATTTTCCTTTCTCCTTGCGTAGAAATTTCGGATTGTGTGAGCCTCGAAATTTCACCTTCTATTGATCCTTAATCATGTGTCGTAACGTCACTAAGTCGATGCGAAGGTTAACTTGAGAATACCTTAGCCTGAGATTGACGACGCTCAATTATCTTTCGTGATCTATTTTAACGTTGAGCCGAAGTAGCGTGCGTGAGAATCTTTTAAGGAGGGTAGTCGAGCCTGATGCAGAGCCGTCTTCGTTTTTGAAGCGTATTCATTTCTGGAAACTCCCATTCTTTTTCTCTTTGATATTTCAAGAGTGACCTTTGTATTTTACTTGACTTTTTGGCAATCCTCTGAAAACTCTTGTTTTTGTTTCGTTTGGAGTCTGCATTTCAAATTGGCAACTTTGTGTATTGATTAAGACAGGTACTTTCGTTTTTCTGCTTGTCTTATATCATTCTTTCGGTTCTGTGATGCCTTTCGGTCTGGGTGTTCCATTCGTACCCGTATCGGTTTGTCGTGGCTTTTATCGTTGATGACTTATGTTCGAGACGCGATCGAGATGAATCCACCCAGGAGGCTCTGTGATGAGATCCAGAAGTCGTAAAAGTCTTAGCAGCGTAGCATTTGAGCTCGTTCAGGACTACCGGTACGTTTAGCTACCGGTGAAAGAGCTGACGTGACGACTGACACTGTTAGTCGGAAGAGTCATGCGAGCTGATCATTTTCATCGTTCGTCAATGACCACTGTGTTGGGGATGATTCCTAGCTGAGGATGCTGATATTCGTTTTCTTTCGATATGATGATTTGAAAGCCCTGAACCATTCGAGATTGTCGATACCTAAATGCTGGGGGATAATGTCTTTGTTGAACCCTAATGTTTCTTGGTTTTGCAAAAACCTTTTCCTTTCGAGTTACCTCAGATAGTGCGAGCTTTGAATTAGAGTAATTCTTTTCTGTATCTCGAACCGAACGCCGATGCCGACTGGGTGTAGTCACGCGAAGTGGTGGTCGAGCACGCGAGCCTGTGCTGAGAGACGTGAGGCACTGCAGGGCCGATCGTTGACTCGCACGAGAGCTGCAACCACCATCACCGAACGCAGGAGCTCCCCAAGCCAGTGTGTGGCCGAAACCTTGACCTTGCAGCTGTTCTCCGAACAGATGTAGGCACACGTCCAAGCGCTCTGCTTATGCAGCGCCAGTGTGTATGACATCTCTCGGGTGACAGTGCATTAAACCCCAGACTGGCTATGTCCTTTTAGATCGTTATGATGGGATCGTCCAGCATCCCTATTTGAGAGCCAGTTTCTGCGATAGAAGTTGTTTTCGTATGTCTAGTCGATACTTCCTATACCGCATACGAGTTGTTAGTCGTGTCGGGAGGGAATGAGGCTTTGTCACCGATATCGAGCAGAACCGTGGCTTCTGTAGGTATCAGTGTTGAGTTGTGGTGTTATTGTTGCTTGTTAGTTTTTTTTATGAGATCCCGTGGCGGCCCGTTTGATACGGACGCACGGATCACGTTGGGATCGTGGGCAAGTTGTCAACGTGACCCGGGCACGAGACTGAACTTGGCACCGCGTAGAGATCCAGATATTTATGCGTTTAGGGCATGCTGTCGAGACCCTGAGAGACTGGTTGGAGTCTGGTGTACTCGATAGTTATGTCGTGTGGAATTTCTTACCATAGGAAAGTGCGCTTATAGCGATGGCTAATAAGCGACGATCTTGATGGTACCGTACGAGGTTCTGAGTACGGAAAGAGGCGTTGTACGCCTCGAGTTCTGGGAAGAGAGGAAGTATCAGCCACATTTGTTGGTCCTTTCGTGATTCTCGACCGAGTTGGCGTCTTAGCCTGACGGTTGACCCCATCACCGGAGCTTGCAAGAGTGCACGACCTGTTCAGTGCCTCTAGGATGACTTTCTTTTATTTCCGGGACGGAAATCGTTTAAGGAGGGTAGACTGTAATTCCCCATTTATTTGTGATTTATTTGAAGTAATTATTATTATTATTATTATTATTATTATTATTATTATTATTATTATTATTATTGTGATGTTATTATTATTAATATTGAATGTCTTAATATTATTTGCCTAATTGTGATTAAGTGCTAATTGTCTAAATGTCTAAATGATTTATATTTATTATTTATGATGTGTAAATATGTATTAATATATATGTAAAATATATTTATTATTCGGCTTATTTTATCGTGCGTTTGATTTTATACTGAGCCCGAGAATATTCGCGCAAATCGAGTCATTTTTTTTTTTGGCAAAATAAATCGAGGGTTTGAGCCCGAGAGAACCGTATGTTTGAACCGGTGCCCCGGCCCACAATAGCCCGCGACCCGAGTTGGGCCCGGCCCGACAGATTTTCCTCCCTCTTTATTTTCACGCGTGATGTGTGTGCGTGTGGGATTTTCTTGTGATTAAAGAAAGTTAAACCTAGGCTTGTTGCATATAAAATCTTGTATCTATCGCCTTCCCTATGGGATTTCATCCGCGCAACCTCAATCTCTCTCTTTCTCTCTTGCATCGATCACGCTTCCATCTCGCGTGAGTTTTCTGTTCTCCCAAATCCAATTTCATCTCATCGTCATCGCATCACCACCCTTGTCGTCCTTCCATCATCCCCTCCGACCACCATACTGTTCGTGAGCCATTAGCACGCGGCCAGCAACTCGCGCGACCAACCTCGAGCGACCTTTGTTCGAGAAATTCCGACGAGTTCGAGCACCCCAGCGAGGGTCCCCGACGACGAGAGTTTCTCCTCCGTGCAACCCTCTACAGCGAACTCGTTTTCCGTCCACGACCAGCAACCAGCGATCAGATTCCGGTGAGCCCCTACCCACGCGCAACTTCCCGCTGTGAACATGCTTCAGCGAAGTTCCGGCCGCCGCTGCTCCGCTCTGTCTTGCGTTCCAGGTCGCCGTGAACCAACCAAGGCCGCCATCTTCCATTCACGACCAGCCGGCGAGACCACCCAGCGAGCCGCCCCTACGCGGCAGCAACTCCGGCGAGTCATCGTCCCTGTGCGCCGCTGCTCCTCCAAGCAGGCTCGGTTCGGTGCCTCCTCGAGCTGCCATCTCCATCACAGCTCCTCCGCGAGCCGAGCGTGAGTCGTCGAGCTTGTCGCAGCTTGTCGTTGTGTTTTACCGTCGAGCCCGTTCGAACCCTTATCGGCCAATTTCCGAGAACGGTATCGAGTCTCGACCCCTCATTTATTGTTGCGTGGTTTATGTTGTGCTCGGATGTGTTGTACGTGTTCGTTGAATTATTATATGCGTGTTTGAATCGTTGTTATGAAAATATATTCGTGATTTTATGTGAAACTCGACGATTCGTACGAATCGAGCGAGAACTGAAAATTAGTGATGAGTTGCTGTGGATTTAGGAACTTAGGATTATTTCGAACACGATGGCGCTGACCTTGTGTCGATTGGGCTTGTAAATTGATAGTTATATCTTTCGAAAGTTTAAATGGCTGTTTTGAATGTGAAATTCATTATAAATTGAATACTAGTCCGATTGCCTTGAAATTTTAGGAGCAGCTGTTTTTGATGAATTTGTAGCCGCTGTAAAATTTTCGTGATTTTTAAGGGTGTTTAGCTATTTTTAAAAATTAAATTATTTTCTGTTTAGTTTCTTGTAAAATGCATATTTAATTGTGTATTGTTCTTTTCTGGCCAATTTTCGAATATGTTATGTGTCAGGCTTGATTATATGTTGTGTAAAATTTTTAGAATTTTTGAGCTAGGTTTGATAGGGTTAACAAATTATTTAGTGATTCTGCCCGAATTTATTTTAATTATGATAAATTGTTCTGAAGTTGAAAAATTCTGAAAGTTTGTGGAAATGCTGACTATATGATTTTTAGCATGCTATTAAAATTTTAGAATTTTTGGGGTTCAGTTGTTATCAGTTCTGATATAATTGTGATATTTGGCTGATTGTGGTTTTAATTTCATAAAACTGTTATCCTGAGTGTTGAAGGTTGGAAACTTTATGTGATGCTGTTTGTATGTTGTAGTATTTTAGATAAAAATTTCATAGCCTGAATCATCCATTATCATGTGCTTTTAATTTAAACTCGTTTTTGCTGAAAAACTTGTTTGAATTCTATAAAATTATGCATAAGGAGTTTGAAGCTGAAATTTGGTGATCTTACTTAGAACTGGGATGTGAAATTTATGTTAAAGTTTCAGAACCTAACTCATTGATTTGATATGCCTTCTAATTCAAGTGTGAATTTGAGAAATTGTTTTTCTATGTTGAAATGTGTTAAGTGTTGATGACCAAATGTGCCATGTGTTTTGTTTGTGGCTCGTTTGTTGTCTTTCACTTGCTTTTGTGTGAACTCGAATATGTGGTTTGATCGAGTCTAAGTCCTAGTGTTCCCATATCCACAGAACTTCACGAACCACTTGGTCGAACCGAGTTCGGCTAAGTCAACTTGTGAAATTGCTATATAGGTCTAGATTAAAGTGTTGACTTTAGTATCTATACTTAATGTAGGTGTCGAGAGGTGTTGAACCTCGCCTCCTCTCGAGATTTGTGATTTGAACTATAGCTGCTATCAGGTGGGTACATTTATGATGTATTCCATATTTATCGCACTCATTATTTCGTGTAATGTTTTCTTTTGAAAATTATTGTATGCATGAGAACTCTAGTCTAAGTGTCCCGAGCGATAGTGCCTTTGACGAATGCATAACAGTGAGAGGTCACCTGCCCGTTGTATCCGGGAGGCGACGCCCTGATCCGTGTGAGTTTCGGGGGGGAAAAACATCTCCACTGTCTCCTGGAAAACATCCATGATCCGTGAGTAGTTCGGGATGGACTCCCATGATCCGTGAGTAGTTCGGTGTGGAAGAAATTTTCCAGTTACGGCCTTGCCGATGTTTGGTCGGAAGGTTGTTGTATGTACATAGGAGGTTTGCGATAGGGCCGGGTAGGGGGTATAGGCTATGAATTCTATGCATACGGATACTGATATTGTTTACTGTGATACTGTCTTTAAAATATTTATACGGGATAACTGTGCGCTAATGGTGAGCTAGTTGGTTGCTCACCCCCATTATTTTTCTTTGTTGTGTCTTCTCTTCCTTTGCTTTAGGTTGAGACGAGCTGGAGGCGGTAGCGTAAGGACGAGCGAGATGGTGGTCATAAATGAATGTGTCTGTTGCTTCCGCTTGATTGTATTTATGAATAACTACTTGTTTTCGTTTTGGGAGTATTAATGCTTCCGTTGAATTTGGATTATTTATGTTCCCGTTGAAACTATGGTTTATGTTAAACATTTTGGATGATGTTGAAACTTGAATAGGTTGGATCAATATAATAAATGTTGGCTTATACGTGTGTAGGATTTGTCTATGTGTCATAATTGTTTAAATGTTGTCAATAGCTAAGTAGCGCCCGTTGAGTTTGAAATTTTGAAATGATTTAGAAAAAAAAAAATCTGATTTTTATTAAATAAATTTGGTAAATTCCTTAAAATAAAACGGGGCGTTACAGAAATACTAGTGTAAATGCCTTAGAACTATACAAGGTATTTTGAATTGATAGCTAACAAACTTCTTCTCGATCAGAGATACGAACATACAAATTAATGAAACTTTTTTGTACTAGCACATACCCCAGAATTATTCCACAAGATGAATAAGTTAACTGTGGTCTACATAGAACATTCACTGTGTTGAAATGGAAACAAGTATGAGACACATTATTGAGCAAGTGCCACCTGACAGTAGAACTCCATGCCATAGAATGGCAGTAGGAGAAATCAGTGAAACTACTAACGACTCAATCTCCAAGTGATCGTCAACAACTTAAGTTCCGATGACAGCAAGGTCAAAAAAACTAGCTATTGTGGCTATATTACATAGTTTTCTCAGGTAAACTAAACACGATTGATTCAACTATACTTTTTCCTCATTAAAAAATATCCTGAAATAAAAAAAAAAAAAGAAAAAGCAAGCCAATGAAAATTCCAACAAGCAAAGCAGACGCATGATTTCATTAAACAAATGAATTGTTGCAGGAAAAGAGATACCTACTTGATAGTATCGTCCATCAAGTTTCTTAATGCCATAACCCAAATGAACCTCTCCAAAGGACTTCATTTCAGTCACCACTCCATTTCTTCTGTAGATGTGCTTTCGAACCCGTGCAAGCAGATCTATCATAGCCTCCCTACTCACGTTGGGTTTCAACAGAAGCATACAATCGTAAAGGGGCATTTTCCTTTTTTATCAACCCCTTCTGAACTGGAAAATTATCATTTTATGCCACAAATGAGTCGTGAAACAATGTCAAGTATTGATGCAGTACAACTTAATTCATGCTAACTTGAGACCTCGAGGTAAAGTTGCTAAAACAACATGCCAAGAATCACAAAGCATTCACAAGATGGTCAATCGTAGGAGATCCAAGTAACAAACCGACCAATGTTACATTATGATATTTATCATTAAAGTCTAAGATCTTCATCCCTTACATCCTATTATCAAAAGAAAATCAGATGCAGAGTAACAAATATACAATGATGATCTTAAAGAAAAAAGACAAAAACAGTTATGTACATGAGGAACCTATATGAGTAACTCTCAGGGCTTGTAAAGACTGCATTCTTCTACCATGAACAATCAGTAAGCTTGAACAATGTCAGTATTTAGAATTTTAAACTGGAACACAATGCAAAGATCCATGGTTCTTTTTGTTTCTTTAAAAAAAAAATACTATTATTATTATTATTTTACTGTTCTAGGTACTTTAACATCAAAGCTTCACACAATATACTTAGCCAAAATTTACTTATACTACGAAGTATATCACATAGAACAAACTGAGAAAACTTTAGATAGAATTGCTGGGAAAAATAACTACTAAAATGAAAACAACAATAAAGAATTGGAAACCCTAGGTGAACCAGAAGAAGAACATGACAAGAATAACACTATGAACGTAATACCTCGCCATTTCTCCACTATTATCAAATACAAATTTTTCTTTCACAATTTTAATAACAAATTGAACTGACCCAAATATATTAAGGAAAATTGAACTTCCAAGCAACGAAAAACAGATCAAAAACAATAACAAAAATCAGAGACTCTACACCGACACATAGAAATTCAAAGAGGAAAAATAAACAAACACGCACCTACATCAGAAGGCCAAACACGTTCTTACAAAGATTTTTCCAAATGATTATGGCTCCGTGCTTCAGTGAACCGACTTGTGAGCCAATCCTTGGGAGGCGCGTTAGCCCTCTCATCAAGAAAACCGTGACACCTAACCTGGCCCAATCCATACCCACCTTTCTACTTACTGCAACACGTATCGTCTCTACTTTTGTTATCTTTCCCTTATAAGGGAATATAAGAGCACAAATACTTTGGTGGGCAGGGCACAGTGTGAATGCACGTAAAAAAAGGAGCGTGACTTAAATTGAAACTCTTGTCCAAAATCATGTCCCACGCGCAGAGATAGAAAGAGAGAAAAAAAGGCGGTAAAAAGTTATACTTCCTTCCGCCAAAATTGAGCTCATTTTTTAAGACAAAAAATCCTCTTTCACTCCAGCTGAAGGCGATTTTCTCTTCTGAAAGCGATTGTCGATTTTATCTTCTACAAAATTGAACTTTCCGATGGTGATATTAGAAGATGTAGACGCAGCCCCTGGATTTTGTAATCTTGAAAATGAACATGTTCATTTTAATCTGGAGAATGAACATGTTCATTTTGGAGATGGAAGTGTAGTTGGGTCTTCCAATCTGGAAAAAAGTGTAGTTGGGTCTTGCAATCCGGAAATAATTTCTTTATTTGAGGATGAACATGTTCATTTTAATAAAACCGCTGTAATATCGATTGATGAAGACGATGAATATGTTGATTGTAATGAAACCGCGGTAAATGTAGACGCTGGGTTTTGTAATCTTGAAAATGAACATGTTCATTTTAATCTGGAGGATGAACATGTTCATTTTGTAGATGGAAGTGTAGTTGAGTCTTCCAATCTAGAAAAAAGTAGAGTTGGGTCTTGCAATCCGGAAACAATTTCTTTATTTGAGGATGAACATGTTCATTTTAATGAAACCGTTGTAATATCGATTGATGAAGACGATGAACATGTTGATTGTAATGAAACCGCGGTAATATCCATTGATGAAGCCAATAATTCTGTAGTTGAAACGGGTGAAGGCGCAGGTAATTTAGAAAACATGTTCATTCTACAATCAAATATGTTCATTTCATAATGAAAGATACTCATATAAACATGTTCATTTTATTTTGTAGAAAAAGTTCATTTTTGTTTTAAACATGTTCATTTCATTTTGTTTTTGCACATGTTCATTTTGTATATAAATATGTTCATTTAGTTATTAAACATGTTCATATATTAAATAGGTGTTTATTCTCCCTGTTTTGGAAAAGTTCGATATGGAATGTATACATGTTCATTTCTTAACTCAACATATTCATTTCTTAACGGAACATATTCATATTTTTGTAGAGATCGATGATGAAAAATTGCTTGGGATGAAATTTAATTCCTTGGAAGATGATTATGAATTCTACAATTTATATGCGAAGAGACATGGTTTTGGAGTTAGAAAATCCAGGTCAAGAAAGAAGAAGGATGATAATGTATATCGCAAACAATTTTGTTGCAAGAAGCAAGGGTTTAAAAGCAAAGTGGGCAAAGAGAGGAGTTATACAAAATTGGAAATGCGGGTTGGTTGCAAGGCAATGATTCAACTTCTTTTTTATGGTGCTAATTGGATAGTGGAGCAAGAAGTGGATCAACACAACCATGAGTTAGTTCCATGCAATCAAGCCCGTTATTTTCGCTCTCACAGGGATATGCCTTCGAATGATGTAGCATATTTGTCACAATTAAAAGCTAGTGGAGTTGGTGTTACCGCTGGTTATAGGGTTCTTTCGGATCAAGCTCGTGGTGTTCAAAATATGCCCTATACAATAGTTGATGCCCGTAACCATGTTGCAAAGCTTGAACGGAGAATTTGGGAAGGCGGTGATGCAAATGGCCTACTTAATATATTGAAAGAAAGACAGGCCCGGGAAGATGGATTTTATTTTAATTATGATCTGAATAAGGAAACAGCATCATTGTGTTCTATTTTTCGGAGGGATTCTCGCATGAGGAAGGATTATGAGGTGTTTGGTAATTTAGTTGTATTTGATACTACTCATAGGACAGTTAAGTACAATCTTGCATGTGCTCCATTTACAGGTATGAACCATCACAAGAGAAACAGTATGTTTGGTGTTGGTTTTTTGCTTCATGAGGACAAGGATTCAATTAAGTGGTTGTTGGATGAATTTCTGAAGTCAATGGGTGGGAAGCAGCCTGCCACAATAATGACCGATGAAGATGCAGCCATGGCAGCTGCAATTCCATTGGTGTTAACGCAATCCTGACATCGCTTATGCACCTGGCATATTGACGAGAATTCAAAAAAGCACATTCAGTATCTTCGGATAATGCCCAGTTTCATCAATCTTTTTCATTTGGTTTTGAGATCAACGGACACAATACCGGAATTCAATTTTTATTGGAAAAAGTGAGTTACTCAATTTATATTTGAACACGTTCATTCTACAATTAAACATGTTCATTTAATACTGAAACATGTTCATTTCTCACTGTAACTTGTTCATGATAATAATTTTTGTAGATAAAATTCATTTCGTATATAAACATGTTAATTTATTTATTAAACATGTCCAAATCATACTGAAACATTGTCATATATTAAATAAGTGCTTATTCTTTGTGTTTTGGAAAAGTTCAAAGAACATGTCAAATAGAATGTAGACATGTTCATTAAACAACTGAACATGTTCATTTGATACTGAAACACGTTCATATCATACTGTAACATGTTCATGATTTTATTTTTGTAGAAAAAGTTCATTTTGTTTTAAACATGTTCACTTTGTATACAAAAATATTCATTTAGTTATTAAACATGTTCACTTTATATAAAAAAATATTCATTTAGTTATTAAACATGTTCATTTTGTATATGAACATATTCCTTTAGTATACGAACATGTTCATTAGACATGTTCATTTTTTATACGAACATGTTCAGTATACAATTACACATATTTATTTCATACTGTAACATTGTTATTGATACTTCAGTATGTGGATACATACAATTGCGCTGATGATAAATGGCTGAAGCGGTTGTATTCAAATCGTCACAAATGGTGTCCAGCCTTTAACAAAACTCATTTCTCTGGTGGTATATTGTTATCCCAAAGGAGTGAATCAACAAACAACTCAATTTCGACGAAACTTCCCAAGACTGCTCGATTGTTTTGTCAAAGTTCTTGAGGAGTGGAGAGAGAAGGAGAATAAAGATGACTTTCGGTGCAACAATGGCCGTGTGGAATGTCAATTCCCTGATAATTCCCTGCTCCTTAATGTTCGTGAGTTGTACACAATTGAAGCATATATTTATTTTGAGCAACTGTATATAGCTGCAATTTCGTGCAAGATGGAAGTCGTTGGAGCACCACAAAGCATTGGAATTGGAAATAATGGGAATGTTGTTTTATGCTATGTTCAAAGGGCAAATGTGGATGTGTTCAAGCACCAAGTAAATTTCAACGTAACTTCTCATGAGGTTAGGTGCTCATACGATTTGTTTTCAGAGGTTGGTTTCCTTTGCTGCCACTGTCTTAGGGTGTAGATCGTTTTTAATGTCGAAAGAGTTCTGGATATGTATGTACATCCAAGGTGGCATCGGAATGCCAATTTGAACGGTCGTTTAGACTTGCAGGGAACCCAATATTCTGCGGGTTACCATGTGCCAGGTACATATTCATTATACAATAGAACATGTTCATTTAGTATTGAAACATGTTCATGTCTTACTGAAACATGTGCATGATATTCATTATACAATAGAACATGTTCATTAAGTACTGACAACATGTTCATTACTGAATCAAATATGTTCATTTCAGGTGCATGCCTTTGGAGATCCGACAAAATATGCTAGTTTCTAAAGGTTGTTTCATCAAGTGAAATGGATCAAAATGTCAAAGATATTGTTGATGAATGTTTGAGATCCATGTCTGATCGCATAGTGTAACACCCCGCTTATCAGAGTAAATTTTTCGCAACTTTTACTTCAAAAATACTTATAAATCTTTCGAAATCTTTTGCGACTAACTCGGGATGCTACTCAAACTCATCTTCTTG